TTTTCCTATTTTTTCTTTTTCCCCATCTTCATTTTTCTTTCATTTGAGACTTTCGTATTTTATTAATTACGTAAGAATATATAACACGCGAATTTTCATTCAAATCGTTTATTATTCTATTTTGTGAAATTATTATTTCTTTTATTTTTATTTATTCATTTCATATTTAGAAAATAAAATTGAACGATCAAACTAACTATCTAAATTTATCGTTTAAATGTTAAAACGATAAAAAGTTAAATAAAAGTACACTACGCGTGTAAAATTTAATGGGAATTTAACGAAGCGTGATTAGAATTATCGCGAAAGTTAAATATAAAATTATAAAATAAGTGAAAATATAATATATATTTTTTCGCTTTCTTATTTCTCTTTGGGTTGAATTATTTTTCTTCTTTTCTTCTTTATCTCGTAATAATTCGATCGATAACAATTTGGAAAAGATTTTGGAAATAATAATTTACCACGTGATATTGCAAACGATTAAAAAGTTGTATCGATAGATTATACGTAAATACTTTAGCATAATTTAGAAAGATATATTTATGTCAAATATTAAAATAACGAACTTAAGTTAGAGACTATTGTTAATTGTGTTCGTGAGGAGACTTGCGAATTCGCTTTCCACGAAAAGAATGACGTTTCACGTTTGTATGCATTTCTCACACACATACATACACGTTATGCTATTTAGATTTTTTTAATTAATACCTCGACTGACAGATACGTACAAGTTTCGATCGAAATATTTTTTTACGATAGACAAAAATAGAGAAATAATTTGAAATAATTTATTAATAAATAAATAATTATGATATATATAATATAATATATAAAAATATAATCGAATTATTTAACGATATTATTTTACATTATATTATTTTAATTAATTTATATATATATATATATAATTATGTAAAAAAAGAAAAAAAAGAATTTTTCGTAAATAAATATATTTTTCATCGTCTCGTTTCTATTTGAGTTTATTGAAAAGAAAAGGAAAAAAAAAAAAAAAGAAAAATCTAATATTATAATAAA